TGTCCTCTGAACCATACCTGAATTTAATTAAACAATCAAGGCAGAAATAGTTCTGTCACCAAGGGCTGAGCCAATCGGCATTAGATCAGTGGCTCCGATGCCAGCAGGAGGTCAGTAATCCAAAATTAAACTTGATGCATTCAAAACCAGGTTCTCGGTCTTCAGTGCTTTGCTTCAGCATTTGCTTTTATTTTTTCTTAGAAGTCAATTAAAATTTCCTTTCATCATTAGGGCTGAGTCTAGATGGAAAAGAATTTCTTCTCTTCTAAACAAGAAAAAAAGAGCATTTTTATGTGCAAGTAGGAATATGAATGGGAGGAAGAGAGCTCCAGGTTTGCATAAAGGAGAGTCCCACCCTAGTGGACATCACCTTCAGAGGATCATCACCTTGTGAGCACCTGATGTTCACAGGATGTTGTACAGGAGACAGAGGAACTGGGAGCCCCAGGCATTTGATGTCTCCAAGGAAAGAGCTTCTGACCATAAGGAGGAAATGGGAGATGTAGGTAGGAGGTGTGCAGGTGAAATGTACGTGCTAAATGCCAAAATTAGTGGTAATGGTATAACAGTGACAGTAATAATGGCAATAATAATAGTAAAGCTGCTCTTTGTGGAGCACTTTTGGTAAAATTTGCCAAGCAGTTTCCATGCAGCTCAAACCATGGAAACCATGGCCAATCTCTCATCCTTCCTTCACTGGCTGAACAGGGAGCTTGTGTCTGGAGAGGATGCAGCGGGTCAGAGCAAGCAGATGCAGGCCAGGGGGGCCTCAGCAGCAGGAGCTGTGTCAGATGAGGGGGCCCTAGGCAAATTAAAGTAATTTTACATCAATTAGGTCTAATAAAACATCCCACTTCATGGGTGAATTTTACTTCTTCTGTTTTGTTTATATTCAGATGGTATTATTTAGGGGGAGGAGCACCTCTCTATGCCTATCAGCTATAGGTCTTCTAATCTTCAGCCCAAAGAAAGACTTTAGTGGCTGTCCAATCATTTGCAGCTACTAAGCTCAGGAGTTAACATCTCAAGCCGTCTTAGGTTTGTACTGGGGAATCCAGCCTAAAAACAGGAGTCCCTAAGAACCAGCCTGTGGATTTGTGTTGGAAAAGGAGGGGCAGGAACCAAGAGCGAGGATGTGTGTCTCCTTGAGTTTGGGGACTGAGTCGGGTTGCCCATAAGCCAGTGGTGGAGGCAGGTTTCCTGCTCCTGTTAAATCCCTTGACACAGGACACATGGCTGGTCCGATGCAGACTTTGAGAACTAACACAGATACACTGAGGCTGAGCTAAATGTTTTGGAGGGTCTGTCACCTGGGCATGAGTCTATGTGAAAAATTCCCATTTAATGGTGCCTGAGACTCATGTTCCAGTGCATTATGGTCTGCTAGTGACAGGGGCATCACTCGATGGTCTCCTACCTGGGTTTCCATCTGCCAAACCAGCAGAGCCTGAAGCCTTAACGGGTGCAGAGGTGCAATTTAAGTTGCATCATTTGTGTTGAGCATTTGTAGTATATAAAATAGACTTAAATACTTAACTGGCATTGTCATTCCAGACCATCAAGACAGTATTAACATAGTTAATGTTCTCAGGAGTATTCATGATCCATCATTCTGTCTCCTGTCTTTTCCAGCATTTACTGACCCATTCCCTGGGCACAATTTGCATTCTGCCAGCAAAGCATCCTGTAGGATTCTTTAAAATGATGAGCAATCCATGCCCTCCAAAAGTCTAACAGAAGGCTAAATAGACAAGGCATTGCCAGGGAGCAAGCAGTGAGGGCTGTAGGCGTTGCAACAAACATAGGCAGGGAAGATCAGGGAAGTCTTTTCCAAAGAAGCAGGATTGGCTTGTTCATACTATTCAGCTCACACATATTTGGCGGAGATGGTAAATGAAGGATGACCTTTGAGGCATTTGAGGCTGATGTGTACGCTTCACCAATTTGTGGCTGTCATCAATCTGAGCCCCTGCAGCTTGATCAGGGGGGCACAGAGTGATTTTTTAGCATCTGTAGAGTATCAAGGCATGTGGCCCCTTGAAGATCATCTGGCCTAGTGACTGTCAGACTGCCCCCTAGGGATTCCCAGCAGGTTGGAAGGTCATTTCTTACCAATTTTATTTGTCATTCCTCTTAAGGGTTTTTTGTTTGTTTCTTTATCCAGGAAGTATTTGAAATTCATTGACCTTTGACTGAACAGATGCATACACACCGTGTATAAATGGCATCTATGTGTTGAGTGATTTGACCAAGACCACATTTGAATAAGGGAAAAAGATAAACGTTGTGAATTTTCTTTTGTGACCTGTGTGATGCCAATATTCTGTACAGCTGGAGAGGGTTTTATTATCCCATATTATAGGTAAGGAAACTGAGATTCAGTGAGTTAGGTTATTTTCCTAAAATCAAAGCACTTGTGAATAACAGGCAAGACCCGGATGAGGCCCCCACCTCCACAGTCTATATTCTCCCCTGTTGCCTAACCCATCCTGGGTCCCTGAGATCCAGGTCTCCACGCACCTTCCCACCTCCAGGGAGGATGTATCGTCTTCTTGAAAAGCCTGCATCGGGCTAAACCACTTGGTCCTACTTCCAGCCCTGCCCTCACACCAAGGTGTGATTACCCATCTGGATGACATGGGATCATGGGTACTTCAAAGGGCATCTCTTCCTTAACCACTGCTGAATAGCCTAAGATAATTGATACAACTTCTAAAAACACGTGGCTGTTATCATTCTGGGTGTATCATTAGTAATGAAAAAATACTTGCTGATACAATTAAATCACTCGAGAAAATACTGTAGAAGACATTAAAAGCATCTGATGTTGAATGTAATTGTCAACCCAATTTCATCTGAAATCATGCTTATATTTGGGTCTTTAGGTTGGTGCTATAGCTGGAAATTGTTCTTTATTCATTCAACAAACATCAAGGGAGACCCCATTAGGGGCTAGTGAGTTTTCTGGCCCTAGGGCTGTGAGCATGTATAAGAGTCTCTGTTCTTTACAAATTTATAAGCTTGTAGTTAAAAAAAAGAAATACGTGTTTATTGTTTTAATGTACAAGGTGATAACAACTTTCCATAAAATACTATGTCAAATGGAAGCAGAAAGAAAATGTCTATCTGGTATGTATAACTTGAATAGTAATTACACTTTTCTTGGTTGCCAAATACCAATCTTATCTTCAAAATGTGTTCTATCCATTCTTCCATGACTGTATTAATGTTGACATCAAATGTGATCACTGCTAATGCACTGGCATCCATCACAGGACACTGGACTGCTTGGAAACACATCTTGCAAAATAGCAGCAGCATCCGAATCACTTTATTGTGTTTGAATACACCCAAATGCCAGATCCTTGCCCTAAACGACTAAACCAAAAATCTACCAAGGTGGGCTTTGCAGAACCATGTTCTGTGGTGCATTTCTCAGATATTCTGATGCACAGCAGAGTTTGAGAATCAATGTTTAGAAGGAATCACTGAAAATATTTTGTATGGTATGCTTAAGACCAAGATGTCCCCAGGCCTGGCACATTGTGGCTTTGTCTTCCTTAGAAAATACAGGCAGAAGGGATAGCAATTTATTTAGGGCCCTTGCAGGACCACATCGTGTCACCTTCATACTCAGGTCAAGACCCAGCCATGACAAGGTACTTTGGTATTATGTTTTTAATCACTTTCTTCCTGAGGCAGCCACCCATGTGTGATGACAGTCTGAGTCCTTTTCATACCCATGACACATTTCCTCTGCCATATGGTACCCTGGCCTTGAGTGATTGCTTTTAATAGAACTTCAGAGAATGGGTGGAGGCTGAAATAAGTGCATCTGCATCACCCTTGGTACTGAGCAGGAATTTTGCAGAAATTGGACAATGTTTGCCCACCCGATTTCCTTGGATACACACTTCCTTCAGTCATGCTCGGGTCACACAGCTTCATGGGTCCTGCCCGGGCTCTGACAGTGGAATGTCGGGTCCAGTCCTGACTCTGAGACCGTGGATGGGGCTCTGTCCAAGCCTCGGACGTGCCGTCATTATATTAGATCTACCTTATAGGCTTGTGGTGAGATTTGTGTTAGAAGATGCAGGTAACATGCTTAATATTTTGTTTGAAAAATTGTGAGTATGTACAGATGTTAGTTGCTGTTTTTACTGATGTTTTAAAGCAGCTCTAAGCAGGATGGCTAAATGGGAAAGTGCGGCTTCAGCCTCGGCCCCCAGTGTAGATTCCCTGGCCCACTTTTGGAGCCTGTTTCCGTGCTGAGTCCTCTGCCCCCGCTGCCCCACCCCTACCCATCATGGGGTTCTCGGCAGCAGAATGTCTCAGATGCACTAATCACTGGTCCTTTGCTTTCTCTCTCTCTTGTTTTCCCCTTTCCTCTGTATCCCACTCATTTGGAGCCCTGTTCCCCAGGGTTTGTACACACATACACTGATTGGGTGGATACCAGACATCAATGGCCAGCAATAGCTCAGCTGTCCAAGAATATATTTGCTCTAATGGGAAGTTTCAGGGTCCTTAGAGGTCCTAATCCCCCAGGTTTTCTTCCCAAGGCAGTAAGATGTGCTCTCCTGGGGTAGGTGAAGGTGGCATGTGGGGCTGTCCCTCAGGCCACAGCTTCGTGCAGTTAAGAGGAAGCAGCCTTGATGGGGAGAGTTGGCCACTCAGCCAATGGGACTCTCGGGCTCAGTGCTAGTTTCCTCAAGGGACACAAAGAGGGTGCTGAGTGGCACTGTGGGACTGGAAAGGACCCTATTAGGAATCCTCACAGACGCTGTGTGCTGAGATTTCCCCATGTACTAAGCTAAGGCTGGAGCCCCAAAGTGGTCTGGTTTTCAGTCAAGAGTGTCAGTTGGGTTGTTAGGACTTTATTTCTGCTGGACTCACATACGAAAAGAGGGAAGTCTTCATAGCATTTGTATATGTTTGTTCAAGTGTATTAGATAATTGGAACTGTTCATTGTTTTCAAAGAACCATTTCTCTCTTGTAGCTTTGGCATGGTCCATGATGGAGAAGGGAATGTGTGCAAAAAGTCTGAGGGCAACATAATGTCTCCGACATTGGCAGGACGCAACGGGGTCTTCTCCTGGTCACCCTGCAGCCGCCAGTACCTGCACAAATTCTTAAGGTATGAACTCCTGGAAACAGTTGTATATCGCTTGGTACCTTTGATTTCCCTGCCTGGCCAGCTGGCTCCTGTCCAAGCAGCCCCAGGCTCGGATGTGGCTTCTCCCTATGGTTCCCATTTGAAGGTGTCTTGTAACACTCATTTGACCAAGGCGTATGGCAAACACTTCCTTAGGGCATTAAGTCCTGAAGGCTTATTCTGACATCATTTGAACTTTGGAGTCAAAGTAAGTCCAGAAGATACTTACCAAACCAAAGTATTTGTCACTAGCACTTAGTCTTAAAAAATTCTTTTATAACTAGGCATTTTCAGTCCCCAAATACAAAGATTTAGTGTGTACACATCAGTAAAGCACACCTGACATTTTTGTATTTTCTTTTCCTATTCCTTTGTCCTTCTTCCATCCTTCCTTTCTTCTTTGTCTTTATTTTCATCATCACAGTCTTCTTCTCCTTCTCCTTCTCTCCTCTCTCTCTCTCTCTCTCTCTCTCTCTCTCTCTCTCTCTCTCTCTGCTTTTTACAAAATACATTTCTTATTAGGAGGAAAATTTTTATTATAAGCACTAATTCATTTAATGTATAGAAAAAGAAATAGTAGATTTTAAAATTTTAGAGAAAGAAGGGGCTTTAAGAAACACCCTTAGATTTCTAGTTAGGTAGGTTATTCCCCAACTCTCAATGGCTTTTGAGTTTGAAGTTTGATTTAAGCTTTAAACTATGACTTGGTTCCCATCTTGCACCGCACTGCAGCCCAGATTGGTGAGGTCTCTGTTCCATGCAGTCATTCAGAGACCCAGGTTCCTTCCGTCCTGTGGCTCCTTCCTGTTCCAGGACCAAGTTCTCTGCTGCAGCCAGCTGGCGGCCAGGGTGGAGAGAGCACTGCAGGGTGTGCAGGGTAGGGTCTGTGCTCCTGGAAGTGAGAGCTCAGGTGATGGCTCTCCAGTTGGCCAGGAGGTAAGAAATGGTGTCTGCCCATGTGCTCTGGAGGTAAAAGTTGTGATGGTTGGTATAGAGAGGGACATCTGTGCTGTATCTTCAACCCAACTCATGTCACAGGTGAAGTAACTGAGAACTGGGCAGGTGGGGAGGTGGGAGTAGGTAGTGGCAGAACTGAGAGGAGAACCCGGGCATTCTGGGGCCTAAACCGGACCTTCTTCCACTGATCCTGAGGACCACAGGTGCAAACAGTCAAGGCAAAGCAATTCTGTTGGATTCTAGTTGTTATTTTGGGTGTTATCCATAGATATCTAACAAAATAACCTGGTTCAAATGCTAAAAAAGATGGGAGAGAGTCTTTGTTTAGAAAGTAGCTATTCACTCTTTGAAGATGACTTATCTTCAAACAGGCAGCACAGACAACTGAATACATGGCCATGAAAATTTAGGTGCTGGGTCCACCGGAATCTCTCAGCATTCATTTTCTTTCCTTCTGTACATATTCTTCTGGGACCGAATGGTGGTCCTGGCCCTGGAACAGACTGTGGTTCCTCATGGAAGACACACCAACTTTCACCTTTGTCATTCTGGGGAATTTATAATTTATTTCCCCAAGAAGGAGAACAGCTCTTATTCAGGAGGAAGGACACATTTATTTGTTAGATGGAAATATATTTTGCCAGATACATAGGAGAATTGTGCTTGCTTTCTGACAAGCACAGGATAATTTACTCATTCTTGTAAAGGAGCATGTTTAAAGCACATGCTTCCTTATTTTCACAATACATCAAAGCTGGCAGGAAGTAAAGGGAAATCGACTGCTGTGTTTCATTCTCAATTAAATACACACTTCTGAGATTCATCAAGGAAAGCATGAAATTGTGACTCATATTTCAATTAGACAGTCTTGGGAAAACTTAGTAAATCAAACCACCTTACCTTCAGAACTTGGAACAGGTTATCACAGGAAAACAAACAAAATCATCCGAAGAGAAAGTCAGATGAAGAGAAAAGCAAATGAAAATACAAACTGAAGATCCAGTCAAAGCACAAATGTATCAAAGCAATTCTGAAGGATGGCCTTTGGCTGTGATATTGAAGCTGGAAATTGAGCTGATGTCCTTCTAGAAACCAAAGCAAAAAGAAGATATAATAGTTCATATTAACAGAAAATAGGACAAATACAATACTTCAAGGAACACAAAGCTTTTACCAGCACAGAATTCTTTAAAATAATGAAACTGTATCTATGTGTATATAAACATAACTATAGATTTAGATACATGCATGCATTTATAGAAATCTTTCTATATATTATATAAATGCTTTATATTTACATAGTTTATATATTATACATTTGCTATATAAAATCTATTTTCCATATTTGTAATGATAAAATTATATTCATATGTCATATAGCAAGTGTTTATAAACATGGTATAGACCTCTGTGACCTCCCACTTCTGCCCTCCTCCGGACCCCTCACTAGAGCAATTCCAGCTCAGGTCAGTGCACGTGGGCTCCAGACCACTTGCCTTTCCTCTTCCTGGTTCTGCCATGACATGATGCCAGCAGCTGAGCAGGCAACAAGGTATGGAGATGCAGCCATGGGGTCATGACCCACACTGGCTTGGCCGAGTTGGTAGAAGAGGAACAGGTGGGCAGCACCTAGAACCACCAGGTTAGCAGCCAGGTATCTGCCTCCTAGGTCTTTGTGTTGATGCACGTTCTCATAGTCAAAACTAAGAACTGGTTTCTCCAAGCCAAGAACTAAGGACAGAAGTATTCCATCCATACAGCCCAGAGATGCCATTCAGTGTTCAGCCGGCTTGCCTGGCTTGTTTCCCTCTGCTCCTGACTGGGTTCTAGACTTCCTTTGTTTTCTTTTTCTCGTTTATTTTCAGCAAAGCTCCGTTTCTTTCTTTTGTCCTGTTGCACAAATTAAGTCGTCTTGCTTCTAGACCACAGATCAGGTAGTGTCACATGACTTTTTCTGTCGGTTGTCCATTATCTGATGGATGACTCCCCATGCCCACTGGAGCAGTAGGCCCCCGGCCTGTCTCCCTTCCTTGCCTCCTCTTTCCTTAGTTCCCCAGAAGACCTCATAAACACATCTTCTGAGCCAGCATTCTGACCACTGGCCTCCTGCGTGTGGCCCTTCTTCATGTTCTTACACTGAGACCTCAGTCAAGATATTTTACCACCTAGAGAGATGATAACGCTATTCATATTTTATGCCCAGGAAGAATAGGTAATTTGTGGATAATATCTATATCCAGTAATATAAATGTTTCCTAGGAATATGCGCTTGATCATTTTTCTTTCGTTTCTATTACCAAAAAAGGCAATGTTAACATTGCTCCCCAGCTGACATGACACATCGGTGTCCGTTAAACATTTGCTGTTCCCAGATGTTACTCTCCTGGAGTCAAGTTGGGGATCATTAGCATTGTTTTGGCTTTTTCTTGCAGCTGTTCAAATTTGTTTTGTGCATGTGTATGTGTGGGGGTATATGAAAAATTTTGCTTTCTATAATAAATAAGAGCATTCACTTTAAGCTCACAATGTTCTAGTTTGTAGTAGTAAGGAAAATTTGGAGTTTTCTATATCCCAAATCCTTCCTATATTTTTCTAGATGGTTTCAAAAAAACTTACAACTTTTTCATCTTAATAATTATGATGCTGAAGATATATAAACATTTAAAATTTTTTGAAATGTGCCCTGACAACTTAGAAAATAGGATGCAAAGATTGGGTGTGCTGTGAGAATCCAGAAGTTTTTAAACTGCCAAGAAATACAGGCAAACTCATTGAAAGGAAACAGTTCTGTGCTTAGAGAATAGTTATTTCGATCACATTAAAAATGGGCTATAATCTTCAAATCAGAATATGACCCTAAGAATGATTATTAAGACCCTGGAGTTCAAAGCCAGTTTTGTTCTGTGATCTGGCGTGGATAAATATATGTTGAAGCATGTTCATTTGTTTTTGTGTCAATCAGTAAATCCTCCTGTAGTAATTCAGTAATACCTATATTTTCAGGGACCTTTGGGATTTCTTTGGAACTTGTGGTTGTAAATAAATATGCAAGCTTTTACATACTCACCAATTTGTTTCCTTGAAAGGTTAAAATTTCCAGGAAAGCCTCTTATGTCAAATTCCCTATTCAGGCTGATTTTACTTGAGAGGACTAGCTGCAAATCAGACACATTACAGTGTGTTAGTGCTAAGTTTTCATTGGCTTAATGAATCTGAGACTGTCTTCTTTCATGTGTTTGCTGACTTCCTGATATCCAAGTAACCAAAATGCTGCTATATTCTCCACCAGTTAGGAGGCTATTTGGAAATTATCTCGACGATGAGTAAGGATGAATGACTAACTTTTTAAGATGAATCTGCTTTCCTTTATTAGCCATGTAGCATTTAGAACATGGAAAAATATGATCAGGGAACTCAAGTGGCCTGAAGCTGTCAGCACAGCTTTTCTCCATATTTGGTACAGAAGGACAGATGCATATCTGGAGTAAATTCATCAACCTACTCAATAAAGCCGTGTGTCATTTCCTATGAGCAGACACCTCATCGCATTTACTCATGTCTGCGTCCACGAGGCCTGGGACTTCAGGAAACTTTAACTTGTCACTTTAAACTTAATGACAGCATGGACTCATCTTCAATTTACTTTCAAAACATTTGCATCATGTTGTACAGACCAGTGAAGACACCTCCCCTCTGACCACGGTGAAAAGGTGGCCATGCCAGGACGTGGATATTTGGGAGACCCACGCACACCCTGCCGCACCCCACACCACCTCCAACAGTGAGAAGACTCAGTCTGACCGGAGAGCCCGTTAAGCATGCTTTGGGCCTAGTGAGAACAACGCATTTCTGTTCATCCCTGGCTCTGCTGTGTGATGCTCATCTCAGGAGAAACACTCCAAGGAGTCAGGGCAATGGCAGGGGCCGCAGCGCCCGGGGCTGAGAACAGGAACGAGCCCTACTGGGCGGAAGGGAAGAGCAGCTGAGGGAGTCAGCTGATGGCTGGTTGTGCATTTAGCACTTAT